ATTACTTGCTCAGTTCTTTTGTGTGTAAAAATACATACAGTTAATCAAATTGAAGCAGTGATGCTAGATGTACTGAAGATTTTTTGAAAGTAATTTTTTTTTTTTTTTCTTTTTTTTTTTTTTTTTTTTTTTTTGGAGAAATGAGTAGTTTTATGAATAAAGAAAAAGAAAAACCTTCCAAAAACTGTTCTATGCTATTAAATATCATGCTGTATTTTAATACTATGCAATTGCAGATACAGATACACATGTCTATCTGACAGATCTATATCTTTCAGTAAGTCCATCCCTATGTTTTGATTCTAGCAGTACTACTTCTGAGCTCTAAACTGTCATCAAAATCTATAGGAGTTGCATGCAGTGTATATATACATATACACTTTGGTAAGTAATACTAATATTGTCAGTCCAAGATCACCGTTTTTAATATATTAATTATCTCTTTTTATTTCAAGATTAAAAGTAATATAGAACAGACTACCAAACAGAAATACGAGTTTTTAATACGTGTTATTGCTGGCAACTCATGGCCTATGTCTAGTTAATTATATGCTTATAACTTTCAATCTTTGAACTTTTTAAAGTCAAAAATTATCCTTTGATTCAAAGTCTGGTTGAAATAAATGATGTTTCTTTGGGTCTCAGATCCTCTGAAGCACTCACTAGGAATCTTTTCCTTTCTGCATAGCCCAAATCGAACAGTTGTGCTACTGCAGCTTAAGAAATATCCAGTAGCTAAGTCACAGCAGTGCAAGGTGCTTGCACTCTCCTACACACATGACAATTTGATCAACTGTAATCCTCTTGTATTACAAACTAATCTGTTGGATTCTCTTGTGGAAAGACATGGAGTCTTTACAGGTTTAATTATTTCAATATAGCTGATATTCCAAAACGTGATTATGCAGTTAAATTCTTTTGTAGGAGAAAAAGTTTAAATGTGCAGCTGCTACCCAAGTGCTACTGAAATTTCAATGTGGAGAAAAACTTGATATCTCCTTCATAATCTCTGAAGTGAAGCTGCTGGAGTACAGAATGAATTTTTCAGAAGCAGTTTCAAGAGTAAGAAGTGCTTCTGGGAAAAATTAAATAATTTGCCATCTGCTATACAACAATACACAGTTCAGGGAATCTCTGTTCTTGGAAATCTTTCCAAAAGCCATCCTAGCTTGATTTGTTAAATTTTGAGAAATTAACATAGGCACTTGCTGTGGTAATTTTTCTTCAGTTTGAGTTAGTATTACATTTATTTGCAATTCCAGCAGGATGTCTACGATCGATAAGTATCGGGATTCAGATTTCTAAATTATGTAGTTAACAGTAGAAATTGTAGGCCAGTGGAACTAGGGAGAAGTTCTATCAAAGTAAATCATAACGTGTTTTTGGGGACCAGGCAGGGAAGAGGCTTGCATTCTTAAAGTCTAAAAAAGTACCACAGGTACTCTAGTGCTGTCACAGAAGAAACAAAGGCTGCAGAATACACCTCAAGTAAAGGTGTATAGTAAATAAAATGAACAAGCAAATTCATTTTAGATGGGCACTGATCATTAATGCAGTAACGATCAGATCAATAGAAATCGTACTAATAAACTAATCATTGTGTTTTGTGTTTATTGATTGTAATATGCTGCCAACTTTGTACTGTAAATGTACAGAAGGTCTCTGTATTAAAAATGAATTATTGGAAGAAGGGAGCACAAAGAAACAAAAAAATAGGTACCTGATTGCTGGATCTGACTAGGAGTTAATTTTGTTCTTAGCAGATTGTAAGGTTTTGGATTTGTGACTAGAACAGTGTTGCTAACACTATCAGTGTTTTGGTTTTTGCTGAACAGTGCTTGCACAGCTTTCTCCGACTCTGCTCTCCCAGGAAAGAAGATTGGTGGGAAGGGATGGTTAAGAGATTGTGTGCAGACACAGCCTGCTCAGTCAACCCAAATTGGCTGAAGAAATATTCTACAACAAATCCATCATGCTAAGCAATAAAAAGCAACAGTTTGGTTTGTGTGGTAGCTGTTGCTTGGAGACTGGCTGAGTATTAGTTTCCTTGTAGCAGTTGCAAGTGAATGCTTTTGCATTAGTAGTATTGGGTTTTATTTTACTTCTCTTTTTTTTTTTTTTTTTTGTTTGTTTGTTTGTTTGTTAAACCGTCTTTACCTTGTTTCAAGATTTTTTTGTACTTTCTCTTCCTATTCTTATCTTCTATGCCATTGTAGATGGGGCTTAGTGAGTGACTTGGTGCTTGGGTGGTTGGCTGCTGACAGGGGGCAACCCAGCACAACCTGACATGTCAGTAAAAGTGAGGCTACCCTTAAATGTATATTTACAAAGTCTCCTATTTTACATATCATGGTGAACTACAAAAACACTTGGAAGAAGTGATGGAGACTGAATGGACATCAGGGAAGAGTGCTCTTAAGAACTAGTTCAACATACAGTCATTCTTTTTTGGTTGCTCTGACTTGCATAATACAGCTTTTGTATACTTTTTGTTTTGTTTTTATTTTCAATTTAATGGTGATAGAGAATTTATATTAATTCAGACAAAAGTTATCATTTAATTTGGCCTATTGTAGGTTAAAAATAATAATAATAAAAAAAGGATGACATAAAAACTTTCAACAGGATATCCTGAGTCTGTGTAATCCAGTATCTGGGTATATGTACTTCGTTTAATCTTAACGTAGCATTCTGAAGCCAAAACCTAGAGAATTATGAATTAACTTAAGGCAAACCTTGAGTTTATTTCTCCATTATTTTTCTTTCTGTGGACTTATGAGTTTGCTGTGGTTTGTGAGATAACAAGTCTTCCACTTTTAGTGCTTCTCTCAGCTGAGACTGAAAAGACTGTAACTTATAGGACCTCACTTATTTAATGGACAATATGGTTCAAAATAATTTTTACATTGACTTCAAATGTCCTTCAGCAACCCCCTTTTCCCTTGTTGACGTCACTTCATACCAGCCCTCACATAGTTCTAGACAGAGATCAAAATATTTAAGTTTTTAGCTTACAAAGTAATTTCTGAGAGTTTTATATGGAATGTAAAATGGGATTTCGAATGGAAAGTGCTGTCTCAGACATAAGTGCCAGATAGTAACGTGCAAATCTGTAATAGCAGTCTTAGTGAAAAAAGGAAATCATGTATAAAATATATTTTATGTGGTCATTTGAAAACTTTACTGCTAATGATAAATACATATTTTTTTCATGCTTCCAATTTTACACTGGTACTTTCTTGAAAGTACAAAATTTAAGTGGTCTAAGAATAGAAGTGACCACACTTTTCTTTCTCATCTCCCCATGCACACTGCATTTTTATCTCTGTTACTTCATTTATGTTGGGATTTATTTTTATAGCAAATGAAAGGATACATAAGCCGAAAATAGTAAATCTTTGCTTTTTTCATAAAAAGAACATACAGCAGAATAAAATGTGTTATGTTGCATATAGCAAATAGGCTCAAGTATTTTAGTAAGTATAGACAGCGTAATATTAAGGATAATTATCAGTGCCCATCTGGAACGTTTTTTTGTTTTTTTTTTTTTTCTTTTCAATGCTGGCTCATTTAAGCTAAAAGAAACAACCAGGTTGAAATTAGATAATTCAGAGCAGAGTACAAGTTTAGATTTTGTAATTTTTGATGGTAAAACATTATTGTGAAAACTGTCATGGTAGAATAATTTTGAAAACAAAGTCTTGTGCGTCTTGTGATAATCTTCCATAAAGATTGTCTATGAACAGCCAATTAATGGAAGTTTATTTTCCTAGGAGATTATGACCCCGAAATCCTCTCCCTACCCAACAGTCTTAGCTACATTGCTGCATTATCCTTTGTTCACTTTCTCTATCATATTTTATATCTTTAGCTATTACCAACTTATGTTTAAAGTTATTTTTAAATTAAAGTTCTTCTTTTGCCACCTTTTTGTTAGTTACGTACTTGTAGCAGCCATAATTTGAAAAGGAAACCCTAAGTACTTTCTTTGGAAAATACCCCAAAAGAAAGATAATCCAGTCAAAACTGAAATGGACCACTGTTAGAACAGAAAGCCTAACAGAAATCCCTCAATTTACTTAATATTAACATATCTGGATAAATACTAAGCCTTTGGTCTTATCTTTTCCTACTTATGAGACTAATAGCACAAGTGTTTAATATCCAACTGCAAATATATATTTTTAAGGTACCAATGTCAACGGAATATTCCAAAGATTTCTCTGAAAGTAAACTATTTTGAACATAGTTGTCTTTGGGTCTTTGAAAATTACATTCTTAAATGAGTAGGGAGTCAAGATTTTAATTTTTTTTTACCATACATCCAAGCTTTTCTAGACTGAAGAAAATGCTTTATGCGTCCCATGTAGAGTATATGTAGGAAGTGCCCATTACAGCACATGCATGCTGTCATCTATTTGAGCGTTCACAGTAATTTCTTTCCTAAGAACATGCCACTCTAATTTTCTTTCCATTCTTTCCTTGTAGTCAATAGGATTGTGAGCCAAGGGCACCAGATTATGAGGGTGTAGAAAGTGTAGAGTTCTGCAGACCCATGGAGGTTTTGCAGGGGAAAGGAAGGACAAGAGAAGAAGAAAAGGTGTAAAAAATTTGTTTTCTGTGTAAATTGATGTCAATCACTGTGTTTGTCTGGCCAAGCCCTGCATCTGATCACCATAGTTTGTCCTCTCTACTTATTTTTCTCAACTGTTCATGCTTGTGTTGTGCAAAATTTAAAGTAAATAAATACATAAATAAATAAATGCTCAGTTATCTCAGAAATTACCAGCATTTAACACAAGTGCATTTCTTTGTTCTTCCTAGAAAAGTACATTAAATTAATGGTGTGAAAATGAGGTTAATTTTTCAGCGATCAAAAGACTACAACTGCTTACTCAATGGACCTTTTTAAAGGCAGTTCTCTCCCAGAATGAAACAGTACATAAGGAGAAGTCTCTGAAGCCTTTGGTAATCTATTTTCATTTTCTCTTCTCTTTCAGCTGATGGATGCACTGACTGGTCTGTGGATTACAAGAAATATCAAGTTCTAGTGGGAGAACCTGTTCGTATAAAATGTGCGCTCTTTTATGGATACATTAGAGCTAATTACTCCCTAGCCCAAAGTGCTGGACTCAGCTTGATGTGGTACAAAAGCTCTGGGCCAGGAGATTTTGAGGAACCTATAGCTTTTGATGGAACTAGAATGAGCAAAGAAGAAGATTCTATTTGGTTCCGACCAACAGTGGTACAAGACAGCGGACTCTATGCATGTGTTATAAGGTATTATATTTTAATATATTACATTTAAATAATATATATATGTATATCAGTTATGGCTCTTAATAGTAAGACTTTCATGCAAAGAAAAATGTTTTTTGATTTTTTCCTTTTTCTTCTTCTATTGCTGTTCCTTCCCTGAAATTTTTTATGTTAATTAGAAATTACAGTTGAATGTTTGGGATATTTGGAGGGGGGGAGGGAGTTGTATTAATTTATTTATTGCAATATCCAACATTCATAAGGTGGGTAAAACTGGATGTATAAGTCTTGTGTTGCTGCTTCTGATTCTAGTTTAATTCCTAAAATGTTTTTTCTGGAGTTGAAAGTTCATTTTTCATATTTGGATTTCTTTTTATATGAGTTTTGTTCTTTGGTTTCTTTTAATTCTTTTTTTTTTTTTTTTTTTTTTTTTTTTTTTTTTTTTTTCCTTCCTGTAAAAAGGTGCTATTTGATGTAAAGTTTGACTTTGCATGAATTCAAATAGAGTATAATTATGAAGAAGTTTCAAAAATTTTTATGGATGTACATATCCTAATCACAGCTGATTTAACCTGATAATGGAGGCTTGAAACCAGATGTCTTCCAAAGGTATTTAAGGTTCAAGGCATCAAGCCTTGTCACCATACCTTAGTCTAGATTCTAATTCCTGCTTTCTAAAACAGATGTAGAGCTTCTTTCTCTACCTTTATAATGCTTTACACTGAGGTATTTTTTCCAGCCCTTCAATTCAAAAAGATTATCTAGGCAATTTGTTATTTTCTAGCAGATTTATACAAGTTTTAACTTGATTTGAAATTACACAAAGTAGAATCACAGGTACAGAGAAGAGTTGCTACTAATTGTTGTTTGAGGGTTTGAAATGTTTGGTTGTACTTAGGTGAACAGATGAAGCAGCGTTCCACTCTTTCAGCCTATCTATAAGGCAGTGTTGCTACTCACACGCCATAGAAAAAAGAAAGAATAAGGCAGCTGAAGGACTAGACAAGAAATGCATAATGAAACTATTCTATGTTACAAGGAAAATGAGAAAGCACCGGAAGAGGCCCGTGATATTTACTGTCTACTACTCTTCCTTTTGTGGGGGTTCAGGAAGGCAACACTGTCTGAATTGTGCGTGGTGAAAGATTTTTTCACTGGACGTGGTTTTTAACATTTGTTTCTGAGCTCTTTGCATAATTTGTGAGAGGCTTGGTATTGCATCATTTCTTCAATAATGTTTTCAGTATGTTTCTTCTTCTGATCAGGATGGCTTTCTCTTTAAGAAAATATTACACATTACGCTACTTAGGGGGAATATTTTTATGTTTAGATTAATGTTTTGAAGTGCATAACAGTAGCCATGAAGATGGCAACACTTTTGTCAGTTATTCCATAGCTCTCACTCTTTAGACAAAGAAAACTTCAAACATCTGATATTGAACTTTGTAAAAGTATTAGATAAATGCTTCATTTTGATAATCAGTCATTCTCTAAAATTTGTTCATCATTTCAACCTGTGTTAATGTTTTATCTAAGCATATTTTTTTTAAACTAATAAGAACTTTTTCTAATCTACTTTAAGCTGCATCCTGCTTTTGTAGCACGTGCTTAATTTCCAACTGTCAGTGCTCTTATGTGTTGAGTGAGGAGAGATTATAAAAATAATAATGATTAGTTTGTGATCCTGAATACTCTTATGATAAGATAAAAAGTCTTATCAGTTTGAGGAGATCCACTGGAATAAGCAGGTATCAGTTGGAGAGTACACAGAAGTCTCTGCCTGTTATTTTATATTAATGTTTCAGATATAAATTTGTTTCATGGAACCTTTCAGTTGTATGATCAATGTGGTTACTGGTAGAAAACAGAATCTTCATCTCGGATTGTTTTATGCTTACTGTGAAAGATTACTTTGAAATAGTTTTGGATGCCCACTTACAATCAAATTTAAAACAGAATAATTTATGTTCCTGAGATAAACATATATTCAGTATTTTTATCAGAAATAAGTAAAATAAATTCCTCAGCAATCTTTTTCTTCATTTGTTTCTTCAGATTCTTACACTATATACTATCTGAAAAAAAAAAAAAAAAAAGGATTAGAGAACAAGAACTGTAATTGCTGTCAGGGATTGTGATGAAGATGGCAGAGATGAGATTTAGTTGTTTTTTGTTTGTTTGTTTGTTTTTTGCACATTAGAAGTTTTTTTTTTTTTTTCTTATTTTAATGAAGAGAGCTTTATATACATTCAAAACGATATTATGAACTATTTAGTTTGAAGACTTAATTGAGAAGCTCAATTAAAAGTCCAAGTAAAAAAACAATGTTCAGTGTGATTCTTGCAACAATTTGAATAGATCAGGAACAAGAGACTGTCTGTAGTAACAGGCAGTAAAAAGCAAACAGAGAAAAGGAGAACTGAGCTTTGAATAAATGGTTCTTCCTCCAAGGTAACAGGGTCAATAGTCCAGCTAAATTGCCTCTACACCAATCCACACATAATAGGAAATAAATAGGAGGAGATAGAAACTGTGGTGGAATTAGAAAACTATGACCTAATTGTTATCACAGAAACAATAGTACAAGTTGCAAGCTCTTTTTAAGGGATAGCCAGGACAGGAGGGGCTGAGGAGCTGCCTTCTACCTTAAGAGGTGAATAGAGTGCAAATTGCTGCCTCTGAGAAGCAGTCATGAACCTGAGAAACCCACAGTTGGAGAGCCTGTGGATTAAAATAATGGTGAGACAAGGAGGAATGGTTTAAAACTAAAAGAGGAGAGATTTAGGTTAGATTATAGGCAGAGATTCTTACTCGAAGGGCCACAAGGCCCTGGCACAGCTGTCCAAAGTAGCTGTGGTGCCCCATCCTTGGAGGCACTCGAGACCAGGTTGGATGGGGGCCTGAGCAGCCTGAGCTGGTGAGGGCAGACCTGCCATGGCAGGGACTGGGGCTGGGTGGGCTTTACTTTTGCTTCCAACCTAAACCACACTGTAATTCCTGGTTTCCATTTCAGATCTGCTTAAAGGGGTGAAACACTCCAGCACTCCAGTACTTGCTTTTTTTTTTTTGCTTTTTTTTTTTCCCTCAGCAACACCTTCTTTTGCAGTTCTGTGCCTCTGCTACCTGTGCCAACAGTAAGGAGAAGAAATTGGCTAGCTACATATTAAAAAACTAGTTGGTGGACCAAACTAGTTTCTACAATGAGTAGATTGCAGTTGAAACATGAAATTTTATTGCCTAGGGGAGTTGATAGTTTTAGAAAAATTAGACTTAAGATAGCAGTAGCTCTTTTTACTTCAGAAGCAAAGAAGCAACTTTAATCCTTATTTACAACCGTTTGCAGTACTCTTATCTTTAATTTATGATCTCCACTTTTCTTCTGATGAAAAGCTGATTGAGAAGCTGAAAACTCAGAACATCACGACTGAGTTCTTATTACCAAAGGAACTGATGCACACCCATAGCTGGAGAAGTGAGGACAGAAATAACTTTCAGCTTGCAGCTGTCAATACAAGGTCTAATGTAACTGGTAGAAAATGTATGAGCTTACATAGTGCTTCAAAGAAAGACAATAATGTTCTTTGTTTCAGGCACCATTGCATTAAGCCTTTCAGTGGTTATTACATCACACAGTTGCTTGCTGTGTATAGGGGCTGTAGCAAAACTAGATGAGCCATACAAAGAGAGAAAGTATATATTGAACTTAAGCATGCAGAAATTGTTTATATAAATACACATATACACCTGGCATAGGAGTCAGTGCATACTAGTTTCTGTCAAACTTTACCTCCTTTAGTGCTGCAAAAAAAGTTGAAATACTGTCATTCTGTTAAACTGATATTATCTTACAATTTTCATCTTTTTCTTCCCTGTCTCAAAACTTTTATAACAGTATGTCCAATAATGTCCCAATATAATAACAGCTGATGTGAGTGGAGCCTGAGAATAAGGCAGGAATCAGATTTATATTAAAGTACTACAGTGATCTCTACTGCAAAAACATGAAATAGGTTTTTTAAATTCATTCAGATAGGGTTTTGCATTGGTATGTCAGTTAGATAATGCTTAGAAATCATCTTTATCACCTCATTATAGTGTATGTAGGAATTCAGGTATCTTTTTGAGTTGAAGATGCTCTTAGTAACTAGTGAGTTTGTTCCTTTTAAAATCATGTTTTACAGTAAAGTTTATTTTATAACTAGAAATTCTCTTTCTAAACATAATGTATTGTACCTTATACACTGTGTCCTTAAATGGTATAATTCTCTTTTGTCCTCTGTCTGTCCTTAATAATGGTGGTTGGAGTTGGTTGGATAATTTTATTTACTTTTCTGTAGTCTAGTCTTTTAAAAGGCTTTTGTTTTTAGGTGTTTACAAATATAATTGCTGAGATAATTGCTGAGATAATTAGAGGAGAACACATATAAGTGAACAAGTCCTGTTCAGATACATGAGAGTGACTATAAACAAAATATCAGTTCTAGAAAAATATATATAACAGAAGAATTTAAAGTTAACAGCCATGATTTCACCAGTTGTGAAGGGAAAAAAATACAGTTAGTTCCTTATATGAAATACTTCATTCAGTAGTAAATCATGTACTTTCAGGCACTTGAGAAAATAGAAAGCAAAGGAAATAACTGAAACAGCTTATGGATACTTTCAAAACTATTTTATTTCCAAACATTGTTTTTAGATTTCTTTCTCTTGCTTTCAGGCAAGCCAGACCTCAGAGATGCTTTAGGCTTGATAAAAGTAATAAAATAGCACTAAATACTTTGTATCCAAAAAATGTATCTCTTTCTTGTTCTGTTATGATAAAGTGAGTGTTTACATGTAAACATAACCTAAATAAAGATGCATATTGTGGTGACTTTTATTTCATAATGAATTTTTTGGCCAATTCTAATGGCGAATGTAGTCTTAAATTGGTAGAGTTACAGATATAGATATATATTTTATATCTTCCAGGCATAATGTTTACAAGCCCATTTGGCAAGTCAAACTATTTGTAACACTGA